CAGTCTCGTAGATCCATTGTTTATGCAGGTCTCCAAGGAGTTCCTCTTTTTTAGGAGGAATAGAGGACTTCCATTTTCTATGATAGAGAATTTTTAAATGATTCTCATGATTACTAGCACACTGCATGATACCTATCAAGTCGAGAATAAAACGTATTTAATCCTCCGGTTCATATTCCCTTTCCCATGATTCCATAAAAGATAATTTAGATGTGGGCCTAGGATAAACATGGGAATAGCAAAATTAGTTTTTGCCTTTACAATATATTTTTTCTAAATTTGACATTTTTAATAATTTATCTCCTTTACCCAATTCCAATATTTAAAAATTTTCTTTTAATTTGTTTGTAATTAGAGTATATTTTGGTAATATAGAATCATCCAAATCAAATTTTTCTTTAAATTGATCAAAAGGGAAGGGATGTTAAAAGGGAATTCCCTGAATTTTTTTAATCCAAATTATATATAGAATGGGAGTGCCAAAAGTTAGATCTAGAGGGGGTAAGTAATAATTTAGAATGGATAATAGCATTGCTCGTAATAAACTTGAGGATGGTCTGACACTACTAAAAATAATATCCCACACCTTGAGGGTAATCTTGGTTGAAGGAAACATGTGTATAGCCTTAGGGCGTCCATTTAAAGGCAGCCATAACAGTTCTTCAATAGAATATGGTTGAATCTTTTCTGCTTCTATTTCTAGCTACCTCGGACTGTTATAATCCATTTTAAATTTAAAAGCAGAAGCCACATTAGCAGCATTGTAATACTTCCTAAAATCTGGGACATCAAGACCACAGTTAGATCTCTCATTACAGAGAGTGTTTAGAAAGGCTGTGATTTAACTCCTAAATGGTGGAGAAGTGAGATTGCAGGGGCACAATCTATACACTAAAACAGTTTCATTTAGCTAAATGTGTTTTGGTGCCTATAGTATCCCATTAAGTAAAAATGAAACACAATAGACCACTTTTTTTTAACATGCTATATACATTAAACAACTTTGTACAGGGTTTGATGAGTTAATGCCAACATTTTACTGAGATACTATCATAATGCATTGAAGGAACAGTGGGAAGATATTCATGAAAATCAGTGAAAAGCCATGAACTGTTTCTGAAAAGTGGAGCCTTACATTACTTTTGTTTGTAGCCATTTTTTTTTTTTATTTGGGTAAGAAAATATTTTTTTGGGGTATATATTCCTTGGTAAACAATGGTAAGTCTTGGAAACTTAACCCTTTAAGGATGCAGGACGGACCCAGTCCATCATGTTCGTGAAGCTCTTAAGGACGCATGATGGACTGTGTCCGTCATGAGCTAAAATTAACCCCACATCACAGCGGTGCAGGTGATTGCTGGGTTAATGATGTTGCTGGGTGCATCAGAGTCAGTGGCAGACCAACAACAGCAAATCGCAATGTCCCAGCCCATGTGATCGCTGTGAAACCAGTCACAGCGGTCACAATGCTGCTGAGATATCAGATCTGCCTCCTTCCACCTCTGTTGGGGTTTAATTTTTTGATATTTTATTTGATAAATTTTACATTTGTGATTTAGTTAGTTGGGGTGGGTGGAATTTAGTGGGAATTGGGGAATTTAGTGATAAGCTAATTAGGGGTGAAAAGTAAAAAAAGTTTAAAAAAGTAAAAAAAAATTAAACTTTAGTTATTTTGTTATAGTTAAAGACTTATGCCCTGTTAGTGGCCAACTCAGAGGTGACAGACACTGCCTCAGAAAGTGACGCAGGGGACAGGGACTATGATGCTGAACATGACGCGTATGACTGGGTACCCCCTAATAATTTTTCACCAGACATCCCAAAGGTCACTGCCAATCCTGGCATACAGGCTGACCTATAATGCGCTGAACTGTATGCAGCTGTTCTTGGGGGATGATATTTTTGGGGAGATAGTCACCCAGACTAATCTGTACGCTGAGCAGTATCTGGCACACAATCAAGAGTCTCTTATCGCCAGGAAAGAGAGATGGTACCCCACCAGTGTGCCAGAATTGAAACAATTCTGGGCACTGACAATGCTAAAGAGGATAATTAAAAAGCCCACCATTTGAATGTACTGGTCTAAAAAACCCATTTGCAATAATAATAATCCCTTATTAAGTATAAAGGAAAACTGGGGTTTAAACAGTACATCCCATCCAAAAGATCCCAATATGGGATCAAATTTTTAAATTTGTGTGAAAGTGGCAGTGGCTATGTGTACACCTTCCATGTAAAGGAAGGAAGGGATAGTCACCTTGATCCCCCAGGTTGCCTAGATATAGTAGGGACAAGTGGGAAAATTGTCTGGGACCTACTCATGCCATTACTAAACAAGGGATATCACTTGCATATTGATCATTTTTGCAATAGTATCCCACTTCTAAAAATGCTGTACTGCTTTGAGACCGTTGCCTGTGCCACTATCCAGAAGAGTCACACAGATTTCCCAAAGGCTCTAGCAAAAAATAAAAAATAAAAAAGGGGGGAACAGCAGCTCTCTGCCAGGATGAACTGCTGGCACTAAAGTACCGCGATAAAAAGGAGGTGTTCATCCTAACCAACATCCATGGCAAACACACTCGCAAAGTCGCAGTTCGTGGCAGAGAGGAAATTTAACAGGTGCTAGTCTGCATAAAACAGTACAATCGGCATATGGGGGGAGTTGACCAGGCCGATCAACTGATGCAGCCGTATTTTGATCATGCAAAAGACCAGGGCATGGTACAAAAAAGTGGACATATACATAATGCAGACAGCAATCAACAATGCCTTTGTTATATTTTAAAACACAAATGTTGAGCTGAAATGCATGTTTCTTGCATTTCAGTTTCAGCTCATTTATGGGCTGCTTGAGTGCCACAGAGGGGGACCATCAGTGGAGCCTTGCAGACGAATTGAGGCAGGTACCTTCTGCCTTGGATTCCATCAACCCACAAAAAAAAGCCACTTGAGGATTGCAAATTAGACACAAAAATCTCATAGGGCCGGCAGCAGGAGAATGTTGGGGAGAGTTGGGGGCGAAGCTAAAGGCGGCCTGTATACAGAAGGGAAGCAGGAAGCATTACCTGCTTCCCCAACAACTACTATGCATCAATAACCCCACTCCTCCTCCAGTAAGTGAGAGAGTGTGTGTGTGTAACTGTGATTGTGTCTGTCTGCAACTGTGTGTGACTGTCTGCCTGTCTTCCTGTGACTCTATGTGTGATTGTGTATGTGAATGTCTGGCTGTGACTGTCTGAGTGTGTTACTGCGACTGTGTCACAGTTCTCACTGTGACATCCAGACGGCTAGATGTGGTCATCCCAGAAATGCCCAAAGGGGATTTGAACTTTGGTCCATCTGTATCCTAGTCTTGCACGTCCTCCTGAAGATACTTCTGTTAATACCACTTCTTCCCGCCGGAAGAATTACCTTTGGCTTATTCTTATTGTGTGCCCTGACTTCTGGCACACTCTGACTTTTGGCTCATCCTCGATGATTCTCCTGCTTGTCCTTGCCTGTACTGCGACTTGGAGCAATATCCTGCATAGGCCAGGTGGTTCCTTATCTGGTCAGGTTGGTCTGTGTTTATTTGAGCATATATGTCTGCATACCGGACTCCCAACTAAGGTAAGCCCTGACAGTGTGTGACTGTCTGCTTTTAACTGTGTGTGTGACTGTCTGCATGTCACTGAGTGTGTGTGAAACTGTCTATCTGTGATTGTGGGATGCTGCCTGTAACTGTGTTACAGTCTGCCTGTAATTGTGCATGTTACTGCCTGTAACTGTGTATGTGTAACTGAGTGTGACTGTCTGCCTGTAACTGTTAGTTTAACTATGTGCAATAGTGATGTACCGAACGGTTCGCCGGCGAACGGTTCCTGGCGAACATAGCATGTTCGCGTTCGCCACGGCGTGCGAACATATGCGCGGTTCGACCCGCCCCCTATTCGTCATCATTGAGTAAACTTTGACCCTGTACCTCACAGTCAGCAGACACATTCCAGCCAATTAGCAGCACAGCCTCCCTAGCAGACCCTCCCACCTACTGGACAGCATCCATTTTAGATTCATTCTCAAGCTGCATGCTTAGTAAGAGGAGGGAAAGTGTAGCTGCTGTTCATAAGATAGGGAAAAGCATAGCTAGGTTAGGGATAAGGGTATGCTTTTTTTGGATTTTTTTTTTCTATCTAATGTAAATGCACTTAGTTGTCTGCCACTGCTGCCAGCTTCTGTGTCAGGCTCACAGTGCCCATTTCCCCAGTCAGTGCCACCAATTACATCTGGTGTCACAATAGCTTGGATTTAAAAACAAAAAACTTTTTTCACTGTTATAGATTGAATAGCAGTCAGTTGTCTGCCACTGCTGCCAGCTTCTGTGTCAGGCTCACAGTGCATACTGTGCCCATTTCCCCAGTCAGTGCCACCAATTACATCTGGTGTCACAATAGCTTGGATTTAAAAACAAAAAACTTTTTTCACTGTTATAGATTGAATAGCAGTCAGTTGTTTGCCACTGCTGCCAGCTTCTGTGTCAGGCTCACAGTGCATACTGTGCCCATTTCCCCAGTCAGTGCCACCACTTACATCTGGTGTCACAATAGCTTGGATTTAAAAACAAAAAACTTTTTTCACTGTTATAGATTGAATAGCAGTCAGTGTCCTTAAAGCGGGTGTTTTACGCTAACAGTGGATACGCTGACAAGTGCCACTAATTAGATCTGGTGTCACAATAGTTTGG